GTCAGCAGTTAGTTGGGAGTATAACCCTTAAGTTCCCTATATAATATTAGGGAAAGACTAACAATAAGTAAACATAAATAAACAGATGACTTTACACGTATCCAGCACAACAGTCCTCCCCAATCATAGGTAGACAGACCCATGTATCCGGTGCTGTTATTGATACAACTCTGTATTGTTTGATTATGTTCCTGAGTTTCATATTTTCATGTTAATTATTTCAGTCCTTTAGAGTTGAAAGTTATTGTGTTTTATTATGTTGATTGATAGATTAATTGATTGATTGATTAAAGTAATTAATAAACAATAATAATAATGGTTGCCCCTCGTGTAACGAGGATGGCCGACCCAAGGGCCACCTAGGCGTGAACTTGTTTAAGGTGGAGAAGCTGTCGCCAACACAACAACCAAACCCTGAGTTAACGAGCTGCATGACACAGTGTCAAGGAATAGTCTGAGAAGACCGGACAACTCGCCAACTGCACTGGCTAACCATTACCCCGGAATACGATCTGCAAATCGATTAACATCCAGCTCCCCAATTAATGCTGGGTATAGTTTCACCCTGCCCGGGAAACGAACCCGGGTCCACTCGCTTGCGAGGCGAGACTGCTGATCATTACTCCACAGTTCGAGACTGATCATTACAGCACAGGTCGCCAATATCTATATATCTATCTATCTATCTATCTATCCCTGGTAAGGCAACAGCTTAGTAATTTGTCGCCGAATAGATAGATGGATAGATAGATGGATAGATAGATAAAACATGCAATAAATAAACAATCAAAAATACTAACTTATAATACAAATAATTATCCCCAAAATTGAAACATTGTATCGATGTAATAAATTTGGCCCACGAGACACATGCAGCCCACGAGACACATGCGGTCCACGAGACACATGTGGCCCACGAGACACAGCGGCCCACCAGACACAAGAAGGCCACGAGACATGCCCAGCAGCCCACGAGACACATGCGGCCCACGACACATGCGGCCCACGAGACACATGAAGCCCAAGAGACACATGGCCCCGGGACACAGCGGCCCACGACACATGCGGTCCACAGAGACCATGAAGCCCACGAGACACAGCGGCCCACAGATACATACGGCCCACGAGACACATGAAGCCCACGAGACACAGCGGCACACGACACATGCTGTTCACGAGACACATGCGGCCCACCTGACACATGCGGCCCACGAGACACATGCGGCCCACGAGACACATGAGGCCCACGAGACACATGCAGCCCACGAGACACAGCGGCCCACGAGACACATGAAGCCCACGAGAGACAGCGGCCCGCGAGACACATGA